GACAAAACTCGTATACAACGAGTATTAGGGAAAGTTTTACGTCGAGGCAAAGTAGTTAAATTTTTATGGAAAAAAAAAAGAAACAGGATAATCAATAATCATCAAGCTAAGTTTTGTCTTATGAGGTAAATCTTGTACACAACGAATCAAGATATGCATAGTGTATATAATAGGAAGTTTTGTCTCTTTGAAAAATAGTTGAAATAAAACTAGTCTTATTAATTAAATAGCTAAAAATCTCTATAATTTGCCATTGTTGATACTTCAGCTCCTGAGTTTGAAATCTGAAGGAGTAGAGAAAGATGAAGTTACGAAAGAAGATGAATTGGGAAGAAACCTAAGCAATGGGCATAGGAGGGGTAATTTTCGTTCACTTATTATTAACTTAAAGTGTGAAAGGACAAAAAAAGTTATGTGGCATTTGTGCCAATGACCCTAAAAAATCCCCCCTAAAATTTTGGCTCGTTATTTTTTTGCAATACTAGTTGTTTAGTAAATGATTTAATTTATTCGTAATTCATAGACTTTTAAATCGTTCCGGTGCAGATGCAAAACAGCATCACTTCATACCATTTCAAGTTCGGAAAAGGGCCAAAGATACGCCTAACATATTGAAAATGGCTCACAAATGCCCTACGTTAACCAATTGGTCTAAACACACCCTTAAGTTTTTTTGGCTATAACATACCTGTGAAACTCTGATCAAGCTAGGTCAAATTTGGATCTTCAAAATAGTGGAAACAAGCCAAAAATATCCCTAACGCATTGAAAATGGTTCACAAATACCCTTTGTTAACCTTTTGATCTAAAAATACTCATTAACATTTTTTTTGGGCTCAAACATACTGCTGAAACTAACAGACCAGCCTGGGTCAAATTTGGGTCTTAAAATAGTCATGTGTCGATCTAAGCTTGCCACGTTTTTTATTCAGGATTAAATTAAAACCCACTTATTTATTAAAACTCAACCCGTTTTCATTTTAAGAAATTAAACACCCGATACAATCTTTTCTCCCCAAAGCATCCGTTATTTCCTAGAAGCTTCGAGGTGGCAGGCGATTTAGGGCTAAACTTTTGTACTTCAAACGGCAGATTGTGGGCCATAACTAATGTTGAAAGATTCTTCTTGAAGATTCAATTCCAAAGTCTTACTATTATGGTAAAAAAAATTAATGCTTTATATGAAACTTCTATTTTTATTTGATGCATTTGAGCCTAGAGTTCAAAAAAATCATCTTGGAGATTGTGTAGTCTTTCAAAAACAGTTTCTCAGTCTCCACAAAGTAGGAGTAAGGTATGTGTACACTCTACCCTCCATAGATCCCACTTGTAGGATTACACTGGGTATCTTGTTGTTGTTTGTATGAAACATTTTATGGTTTGGGATTTATATATTCTTGTAGGGGTGTGCAAAATCCGAACCGACTGATAAATTGAACCGAAAAAAGTGTTATTGGTTTATTCTTATTGGGTTATAGGATTAATGGTTTTATAAAAAAAATTATTAGGTTATCGATTCGATATTGATTTTTTAATATTGGGTTTACCGATAACCCATTAAGAATATAATAGTTAACTATTTTAATTTTTAGGCATACATAAATATCAAACAAAAAATATTAATATAATCATTATATTAGACTATAACTATTAAGACCCTACACAATTAATACTACTTAATCTGCTCTCGGCATTTACCCATTAGGTTTTAGTATTAATTTAGTCTTTAGGTTCACAACATCAAAACCTAAAGAACTAAGAACGGCGGCGGCTAGGGTTTGCAACGACGACGGCAAGGGCTAAGCAACTGCTAAGGTTGTGAATTGTGAGTATTTGCTATACTTTTACTACACTAAGCAGAATTTTTGCACTCAATGAATAATTTGATTTCTCTCTTTTTTATTTCGCAACAAATTGTTGGACAAGTCGTATATTTGTTTTGAAAGCATTTACTTGTCGATTAAACCGAAAATTGAACCGTTAAGGACCGAAAATCGATAACAAATATCTTATTGGTTTGATTTGATTATCGGTTTAGCATATTTAAAAACCAAAAACCGATAAACAGAACCGATGATACTTAAAACCGAACTGAATCGACCAATACACACCCTTATATTCTTGGCCTTCGATAACTATTTTTTACTCCAGTCGTGTTGAAGCTTTTAATGCTTTTTGTTGAAGCAGATATTTTTTACTCTAGCTATGTTGAAGCTTTTAATTGCTTTGTTTACAATTCCCTTCGTCCCAATTATGTGGCACCTTTTCCTTCTATGATTGTCCCATGAAGAATGTCACCCTTCTATAATTAGAAATAACCCAACTTTCAAATTCCACTTACTCTTAATGAAACAATTGAAAAGCCACACAAATATCTAAGGTTTATTCTAGAAAACACATTTCAAAGTCCTTTTCCCTTAAACTTTGTGTCAACTCAAATGATGCCACATAACTTGGGACGGAGAGAGTAATTCTTTTTTGTATGTGGCCCCTTCTTGATTTGTATGGTTATTGAACTGGTAGATGGGATTATTTATTCGCTTATGGTCCCTTTATTTGTTGTATGTTGTTAGATCCAATATTTTTTCGATAATAGTGGTGTTCACCGTTCGGACCAGTTTTCGCACACCTCAACTAATTCCACGAAATACTTGTCACCTCCCATCAGCATCAGGTAACTCTGCCCACCAAGGCTAAGACACATGGGAAGAAATCACCTTGTGTTTGAAATCACCTAGTGCTTTTGTCTCTGCTAGGATTTATGTTTTGTTATTGACCGTGGTGTCCACACTAGCTTTTGCATACCTCGACTAATTTCACAGGATACCTACCACCTCTCACTAGTAACGGGGTCTTTGCTGAGATTTGAACCTCAGATCTCATAATTCCAATATTTTTTTATTTTTGTATATCTCTGTTGTGGTCCCTATTTCCTTTCTTTTATGGCTTGCATATGCTAGTTTCGGAAGAATGAATGGAAGGCATACTTAATTTTTAATTATGGTGTAATAGGGTCCAGAAACCTTAGTTCATCTATATTAAAAGATGGATACACGTGTGGCATGGGTATGATGTATACCTATTGTCATTTATTGAGATTTGTCGAGAATATAAGAAAAGGCTAAGGTTTAGTGAGATGATGTAGTTGTTAATTACGAGGCCACATGGTGGTTCTATGTATTGGAGGTGTTAGAATCCTTAAATATTTGTTGTGTATCAAATTCAATGCACTAAACAATTTGCACTAGATGAGGGTGAAGAGAATGTTTGCTCCTAGTATTATTGATCATAGCAAAGTTTCTTCTAGCACTATAGATTAGTGTTGTAACTTGTAACTAAGAATTCAAGATTAAAATGTTAAGAGTACCACTTGACTGAGGTGCATAGATGGAACTCTAAGGAGACTTATATACTGGTTTATGTGCCATCCAGCCCTACTAATGGATATATTTATCACCACATCAGAATCAGGATTACTCTCTCTCAATTCTTTGGCATATACCACTTCTCCAAAACAATCCTCTTAACTCTTTTCATCTTTAACTTGCTAACATTAAGCATGAATTCTCCCTCCCAGTCTCCCCTCATATCTTTGATCTTCTCATATCATTGCTCTAATACTTAGGACTATTCTGGACTTTTCTCCTAAGGTATTGTGCTAAAGTTTGAGCATCACCTCCATGATTCTGGTAACTTGGATTACAATGGTGATTTGGAGTTCAAAGTCTTGATCTTAAAAGGCTTGGTTTTTGCCCATCCTTAAATATAAAACACTTGAAGGGACATTTAACGTCGCATTTATATCAAGACATTTTGTGTCACTCTTTTCTATCTTCAAACTCTTACCATTAGCAATTGCATATAACTCTTCTAGCTTCTGGATATCCTTACAATTCATACTTTTTCTAATCTTTGTACTTGTCTAATTTTTCATTGATTTCTTTAGTCCTTTCCCTTCTAAACACCTTGAACTCCTCACTATATTAATCTCTAAATGCAGGGTCACATGTGTATCCGTCTTTTAGTATAGATCAGAACTGAGGTTTCCGGACCCAAATTCCCCCATAATTGAAAATCAACTCAGCATTTTCATTCATTCTACGGAAACCAGCACATGCAAGCCATAAAAGAAAGGAAATAGGAACCAGTCCGGTGATATGAGAACAAAAAAAGATATTGGATCTAATGGCATACAATAAACAAAGGGACCACGAACAAATAAATAACCCCCAACCACGGGTTCAATAACCATAAATTTCCAACAAATAAATCAAGAAGGGACCACATACGAAAAAGAATTAGTAAACAAAGCCATGATTCTAAAATATACAAGTAGCTGTATTAGATTAGTGAAGTATGTGAGCAGAGAGAAGAGATGACTCTTTCACTAGACAGTGTCACCGAAGCCTTCAATTCTACGGCCATCATATCTGCTAAGAATTTTTGGTAGACAATTTTGGGTATAAAAAGAGAGGCATTTGTAATCTGTTGCTGATCAATCTGGTACAGGTGTGTAAGATGAGTTCTTACACGTTAGACAATCTGATGATTTTATAAAGCAGTTACTCTCTTTTTCTATCCCTTTTCTGCTCATGAAAAAAAAACATGGGAAAGGGATATAATGGTGTCACTCATATCACTTAAGACATCACAAATCTAGGACATCACATTCGGTATGACGCACTGAAGTCTGCCCAACATTTTTCTATAGTGGAAGAATCCAAAAGAATGATTTATTCCCCAAACGCTGCAACATCATCAACGATTCGACGTTATCAGTTAATTAACAGTCAGCTTCTATCTTTGCATAAGATATAAGCAAATAATTCCTTCTATTTTATTCAACAATTAGCATACTGAATTCATTGTTGAAGATTTAGGTAGATTAACAAAACACAAATCAGACTAACAAACTTCGATGAATAAACAACGTAACAAACAGAAAACTAATAGTAGCAATCAATATTTTAATGGGCAAATGTAACTAAATTGATTCTTACTTAGCAATCTCTTGGTGATCTCTACCAAACTGCTCAGCTGCATACTTCACAAAATCACGGGCATAGCTATTCTCGAAGCAAGAAATATCGAACTTCTTCCTAGGCAAAAAGTTTGAATCTTTAAAGTACCCTTCATTGTATAAATGAGTCACAAACATCACCATATCAGGTGAAAGCTCTTTGAACACAGTATGATCCTCCATGCTTAACGGCATCAACTTCCTTGATTTTACACTCCTAACTTCCTCATTCATAAACAATTCATGTAATTTCTTACTCTTCCCCTCATTTTCTGACACCCCATCACCATTTCCAGCTTCCTCCTTATTAGCTTTCTCATTTTTCCTCTTCTCCCGCAAAACCCTCACTTCTTCCTCCAATTTTCTCAACTTACACTTCAATTCTTTGTTTTCAGTTTCATCCTCACTTTCTGATACTTCAGACTTTTCTAAGAGACCAACAGCTTCTTGAAAGAAAACACCCAATGGTTTCTTTGCTACACTATCTGAACTTGCTGATTTTTTCTGAGACTGAGCTGAAAACGAAAAGGGTCTTCCCAAAGATGATGAAAATTGATATGGGGCAGATGAATTCAAGCATGTTGATGCTATTGAGTTACGGGGGAGTTGAAGAATTGTTAAAAAACGCCAAGAATTGAATTTTCTCAGGTATATCATTGGTGGGTTTACTGGTAATTTGGTCACTGAACCATTGATGAGCATATACAGGGAAGATGAAGTTCTGCCATTAGAGGGGTTTTAGGGGTTTTGCAAGCAATACATGTAGGCTTACAGCTGCGGATTTGTATTGGGTTGGGCCAAACTAAAAGTACATGGAGTTCCTTATGGGCTAGGGGTATGTTCGATTTTATGTTCGGTTGGTTAAAATATTTAAAATATATATATTGAGTGAAATAGTTTTCTAAAAATGAAAATAGGGAAAATAAGTTTTAGAAGTGATAATTTATTGTTGATTGTATCTTTTTCATCCTCTAACATATTTTATCTTTATTCCATCGTAATTTATATGGATTGTCCCTCAAAAAAGTGATGTTTAATTTTTATTTTCGTATCTCAGGTATTAAATTTTTGCTCTTGTTACTTATTTAATGGGGATTTCTGGACAAAAGTATCTTTATCTATCTGAAGCTAATTCGATCAAAGGAGGACTAGTGAAAAACGGACCAGAAAAAATTGTTGAAGGCGAAGTTGATGTTGGTATCAAAAAGAGGACGAAAATTGAGAAGCGTCAAGCAGAGATAAGGTAGTGTTAGCTTCATATGCTTCTTTAACCTACTTATTTATGTGAAGTTCTTTAATTATAAATTATCATATTCATACTTATGGTGTGATTTCTTCTTATTGACAGAGATGAGTATAATTTCATTCAGCAACAGAAAAAATATTTAGAATTTATGGAGAAGGTATGAAAAGAAAATTACTTCTTGTTAGATATTATTTTCTTATAACTTTGACATGACTTGATTCTTTCTATTATAGGGTGGAGATCCTCTGGATTTCAAATTCATGTATGCTGCACCTAGAAGTCTATTGAAATCATTGGAATGCAATAAAAAGAAGCGAAAATTGGTCGATGTTAATGATGATAAAGCATAAGCCAAAGGTAAGAAGAATATGATTGAAGAATAAGTGTTTCAGCAAACACATTTTTAGTATTAACGTATTGAACGTTGGATGAAACGTTTAAATTGTGAAATAATGACATTAGTCGGTGACTAATGCTTTGTAATGCAATTTAACATTATGTTAGTTAACAAATGCTTGCTTGAACCTTTTAAACATATCGTTGATATTATTTTTTTATATGCAATCTTTTGATAATTATATTTTTTATGTATCGAGGCATATATGATTCCAACTTATAGTGTATCACTAGTGTTGGAATGTTGCCCTTGTCTAAAATTCTTAAGTTTTGCCGTATGAGGCAAAATTTATATACAACAAGGCAAGATATACATTGTGTTTATAATGAAAAGTTTTATCTCAAGATAAAAGTAATTGAAATTCTATATCAAAAAAGTAAAATAGTCATCGAGTTAATTTTTACATTGTGTTGCAGGTGAAACTTTTATACAACGAGTAAGTATATGTATAATGTAGATAATGAAAGATTTTGCTTCGACAAAAAATAATCAAAAATTTATAACATAAAAAATAGAATAATTATCGAACTAAATTTTGTATATGATGAGTTAAGATATACAATTCTATATAATATGAAGTTTTGTCTGTTTGAAAATGTAAATGAAAATAAAATTAGTCGTTTTAAATCGTTAGAATTCATTATTATTGATACTTGCAACCAAAAAAATTAATCATGTTTGTTTCTAATCGCTGTGCTTAATTCTTGTTTAAATTTTTCCAATTGATTTCTTAATTATCATTTATCCCCATGAAATTCCATTTGATACCATTTGTAAACAAAAAGAGAGTGTACACCACATATTATCATATATTAGTTGTTATATATGTTGATAAATAATAGGTAATAATGAAATATAAATACTCGATAGTATAGTTATGAAACTCGTGAAAAGGTAATTCGTTTGTGCATATTTAGTAAAATAAATATACGTAAAGTATCACGTTTTTTGCGAGTTTCCTATCTAAATTATCAAATAATCGTTTTTTCTTAGGGGTGTACAAAAATCGAACCGAAAAAGTGCTATTAGTTTATTGCTCTTGGATTAATGATTTTTTAATGATTTTATTACAAAAAATTATCGGGTTATCGATTTGGTTTTGGTTTCTTAATATTGAGTTATTGGATAAACCGATAACCCATTTTAAGACTATAATAATTTACTACTTCATCCATACATAAATATTAATTATTAATCTCAATACTTTACTAGTTATTATCTTGCCTTTTCGCCTTCTATTTACACTTTATGATGACTTTGAGTTTACAACTTCACATTATACAAAACGTCAAAAAATAAAGTAAGAACACTATTCCTCTTAATTTCTCTTTAGACCATCTCCAATCCCACTCTATTTTACTCTCCATTCTCTATATTTGGAGAGTAAAAATAGAGAATGAGCTTTCCAACCACCCTTCATTTCACTCTTTATTCTCCATATATAGAGAGTTGAATAGTAGTTCTCCAAATTTGAAGAACTACTATTCACACTCTCTTATTTCACTTTTTTCATTATTTTATTATTCTTTCTATTATTTTGTAATTAACATATTATTTTTCATAAAATGCTATGAATTAAATCTCTAATATTTGTAATTCTTTTTAAATGTAATATAATATTTTAAAAAATATACACTCCATTATTTAATATTTACTACTTTCATTCCGAATTAATAATATTTCAATTTTTTAATTTTTTTTTGTCAATTTAATATAATTTGATTTTATTATTAATTTTCACTATAAAGAATGCACAATTTTAAATGGTCTACAGTTGTTCAAACTATTCGTAATCCACGCTCTCAAAAGAAGAAATATTACGCGATGAAACAAGAATCGAGCCGAAAAGATGTTGAACGTACATTCGGAGGTTTGCAATCACGTTTTGCAATTATTGTAGGACAATCATGTTTTGCAATTATTGTAGGACAATCACGTTTTTGGAGAAAGGAAGTGTTGCATGATATAATGACTACATGTATTGTACTGCACAACATGATAATCGAGGATGAACATAATCTTAATGCACCAATTCAAGATGTCATAGAGGCTCCAATTGCAATGACCAAAATGGTGGTAGATGAAAATCTTCGATTTGAACAATTTTTAGCTAGACATAAAAAAATTACGGACAAAAATGCTCATTTTGAACTCCATAACGTGTTAATAGAGCATTTATGTGAGAAACATAATAATCTTGAAAGTTGGGTATTTATGTAATGCTTATATAATTATTTTTCATTAATGATTTCACTTTTATTTGAATTGTTCATGAATTTGTATATTATATAATATTTGCTTCCAATTTATGTTATTTAGAAATTTAGAATAAAATATAATTTTATAATTAAAAAATTTTGAAAAATAAAATTTTATATCACATGAAAATTATATAAAAGTGATTATTTCGAAAAAAAGAAGAAGAGGAGATTTATATTATGAAATAAGAAAATAAGAATGAAATAGAAATAATAATATAATATTGAAGAGAGAGAAAAATATTATTTTTTGGAGAGTAAAATAGAGAATTGAGTTGGAGTTGATTGTCTGAAAATATAGAAAACTCTATATTTGGAGAGTGAAATAGAGAACAAGATTGGAGATGCCCTTATGTTACACTTGTATAGTTCTTTTCATGTTAGTTATTATTGTTATCTTGTCGCGTCAAATTGTTGGAGAAGTCATATATTTATTTTATAAACATTTTATTATTGGTTAAATCGAAAACCAAAAATCGATAAAAAAATATCTTATTGATTTAACACATTTAAGAACCGAAAATCGATAAATCAAACCAATAATAGATAAAATCGAACCGAATCCACCGATACACACCCTTATTTCTACCTAAAAAAATATCACCAACTATTAATCAAGCATACCTCAATTTTTTTTTTTTATATATATATTACGATTAGCGAGATAGTTCAAATAAAAAACTAGCAATAAAAAAATATTTCATATAAAAAACCAAAGATGTAACTTTCATATTCAAAACTCAAAGAACACAAGAGGAGAAGAAAATCAATTCTCCTCAGATTTCATCAATTCATCAATGCAAATGGAAACCAATTTTTTGATTCCATTTTTCACAATTTTCATCCAATTGATGGCTACTCATGTGAAACCCCAGATCATTGAGTCCCAATTGAATTTTCCTAGCTGTCCGGCGACTGATCCGGCACTTAATTACCGGCCGGTCATCGGAATTGTTAGTCATCCCGGTGACGGAGCTTCTGGTCGTCTCAACAACGCCAGTGATGTCTCATACATAGCTGCTTCTTATGTCAAGTTTGCTGAAATGGCTGGTGCTAGAGTTATCCCGATTATATATACAGAGCCTCCTGAAATTATCAATCAAGTAAATATTTTACTTCCTACCTTTAATTTTAGCTGTACTTACTATTCTCTTCGTGCCAATTTATGTGATTGTGTATGATGTACACGAAGTTGACTTTTGAAACTTGTAGGTAATGTTAGAAGACGACCTACTGTCAGTATATCCTTGAAAGCTCAGACGGAGAGAATAAACGGACTCCTCGAGGGCTACTTAAGCCACTTTAGTGTAAACTAGAAGGACTAGAATTGTTGATATAACTTAACAACCAAAAAGCTCTGCATTTAACTTGAGCATAAATAAGTTTGAGTAGATAGTTATCTTACCTTATCAAAAAGTTGAAACTGAGTATAATATTCTATTGATGAATTATCTGAACGTCCATGTCTGTTATAGTATGAAATTGGTGTGACCATTGGTGGAGCTAGGATTTTCACTGAGAGAGGTCAAAATTTGAAGAAGTAGACACATGAACTAGCCGAAGGGGGTTCAACATTTTCTATATATGCATAAAAAGTAGTTTTAACCATGTAGAAATAGTATGGTTTTCCGTTGAAGGGGGTTCGGATGAACCCCTGACCACAAGTTGGCTCTGCCCATGGGTCTAAGTAGAGTGTATGGATACAAAAAGCATTTGTATGGCTGATGTCAACTAGTTTGTGTTTGAAATATAGTTGATTTGATTGACTGTTTGGCCTTGTACAAATCCCAAAACTACTTAGTTCCTTATCATTTAAGTATGTCACCATCTTATCTCAAAGCAAGCACGGGGCCTGACTCTTTTATATAGACCAAACACTTCGATTTATCTGATCTAAGAGTTTACCATTCTT